ATGTAGAACCTCTGAGACAAAAATATATTTTCTGATTTGCCCCCCTGCATACTAATCTGTAATAAGACCTTTTGTATCAGGAGCAATTCGAATATACAGCCTATCAAATACAAACTGATTTGTTGAATACATCTTGCTCAGTGAGAAATGTGGTTCAGCAATTCTGGCATTAGCTCCATGCCCCCTGGCCGTACACCTCCATGTAACTATTACAGCTGTGAACAAAAGTCTACATACACTTAGAAAAAAATGCAAGCGATCACCTGCTGCTGAGAGACAAATGGTCAGGATTGTCAAGAGTTAACCAACAATCAACAACAAGCAGGTCTACAATATTTACAAGCTTCTGGAACACACGTATCAGTGTCCACAGTCAAGCATGTTTAACATCACCATGGGCTGAGAGGCTGCTGTGCAAGAAAGAACCAGCACTTGAGGTTCAACTGAAGTTTGCAGCTGATCACATAGACAAAGAAAAGGCCTCATGTAAGAAGGTTCTGTTGTCAGATTAAACTAAATTGAGCTATTTGGCTATAATGTCCAGAAATATATGTAAAGGACAGCAGATGAGGCCTTTAACCTCTAAGAACACCATACCTACATCAAGCATGGTGGTGGCAGTATTATGGTCTGGCTTTGTTGTTCCAACACAAGAGTTTTCCTTCACTCACAGCATCTGAAGACACTGAAGTAGCAGCCTTGTTGACTTATTATTTCCAAAATACTGAAAATTCTGTCCATGTGTGACAATAGTGTAACTAGGCTAACCAGAACAGTGTGTGGATCCTGACCGGTCCTGTCTCCATTAATATAACTGGATACAGTTCAGACTTGTGCCATGTTGAAAATGATACACAAATGTCAGCAAGATCATCGATGGAACTGTGACCAGGGTGAGCATTTAGACATGAAGCTGACACGCTCAGTTACCCTCAGATTAATGGAAAGGAGTGCATGTTTGAAAGGGGCTTTATTGTGTCCATCGCCTGTATGATCACAGGGTCCCACCTGGAGCTGTGACTGAAGTGAGCGGCGAGCCAGCAGGTTCTGGATGACGTTGGTCCGGTCCAGACAGTCCATGCAGTTACTCCGAAAGATCCCTTCCTGGTTCAACAGCACCTTCCCTTCTGAATCCACGAGGAAATATCTGAATCCACATGCACACCGTTACTTGATGTACTGTGTTGGCATTTGCTTGGAGAATTTGTGAAAACCATACTCACCCAAATTCATCCTGCATGTCAGTGACCATGTCCATTAAGATCTGCAGACGGTGCCACCTCATCCGACTGCACTCCTTGTGGAAGTCAAAGGCTATGTACCTGCAGAAAAGCAATTATTTAACAAAAATTCAATTACCTTAAGCAATGTCAAAGTTGATCCAATACAAGGCACTGAAAGAATCCTGTCAAATATAAAGGCTTAAGGTAGCATTTGCAGTAATCTTACTTGATCATGCCATTACCCAAGCTGTTCACCAGCTTGTCAAACGCCAGCTCCAACGGCTTTTCTGAGCCCTTTTGGTTGATCTGTAAAAGCAGACCAAAGAACTCAGTATTGTTATCTACAAAAAATACAAACACGTCGTCACTGACTTCTACTTATCAATCAGGGCTGAATCATGGATTTCAGTTTATGAAATCAACATCCAGGAAATACATTGATTTCACAAAATGTCAGCACTTCACATGATAGAATCAACAGATATGAATTGTAATTTTTCAACTTACCAAGTTCAAAATAACTTGTCTTCCATAGAGAATAATCTGTGAGTCAAAGTGTCTCTGGAATGCGTCCAACTGCATGAGAAATGAACTTCAGTAAAACTACAGATACAAAGAGGGTCTTCTTCATTGCGATGTACGTGTAAGTAAAACTTACATGATTGACTGTTTTGTTGATTTGTGGTTTTGGCTTGTACTTGAGGTTGGGTCTTTGGGACCAGTAGAAGGGGATGGACCCTCGTGTCTATGAAGACAGTGACCACATTGCATGAACATATCATGACACACATTCATCCACTCATTCCTCCTGTCAGCCACCTGCTTG